ACATTGTATTGTATTGTATTGTATTGTATTGTATTGTATTGTATTGTATTGTATTGTATTGTATTGTATTGTATTGTATTGTATTGTATTGTATTGTATTGTATTGTATTGTATTGTATTGTAATGTATTGTATTGTATTGTATTGAATTGAATTGTATTGTATTGTATTGTATTGTATTACCGCCATGGACAATCCACGCATGGCGTGGCGATTGCGCCTGTTGGCTCTATCCTTGGGCTAACTTGGACAATCAATGCTTCGAGACCGATAGACACACGGTGCTATTTGCGTGCCTCCTTGGTACTTACCTACATATAAAAGCAATCGTGCTTTTGTTAACATTATTAACACATAACATTAACACGTTAGTTGGCTTAGTGGCTTTACTGGTGTAAGAGTCGCTGCGTAATTAGATCCTCTGCTTTCGCCGAATGGGCAGCACTCCGCACTCAGGCTGATCTATTCCAAAAACATCTGCGCAAGGAACGGACAATCTGGGGAAGCGAAAATGGGTCGTTCTGGCCTTTTTTAGCGCAGTGTCTACTGTCTAGCTTTGAGCGGAAAAGCGGCATTAGATCAGTCACGAATATTGTGTACAAAGAAGCTAGAAAAATATCATAGACTATTCATTTTCTAATCGATAGAATAAAATTTCATAAGGGGGGGGGGGGGGGGTTCGATACAACTGAGCAAAACATAAGGTCCGACGCGCTGGAAAAGGAGCAGAGTCGATAATCAGCACCAAACGTTGCGTAGTATCTACCAGTGAAGTGTATGTACGCTGGACATTGAACGGTAAACCAGATGTTAAATCACAATGTTGATTCGCATCGCGGTAGCACCGTGTGCGATACTCGTGAGTAACACAACTCATAATCTATTGGACCACTGTCTATTTCATTTGAGTCTGACACCATCTGTACCCGTCTGCTGGGAGCGGCCCATCTGCTTCCGCCTTTCAACTGCGCCCGATGTGTCAGAGGTCGCTGCGGCGGGGCCGGGACCTTGGTATCTCTCGCCACGATCAGCAAGGATGTGGGAATCGGACGACCTGTGCAGTGTCGACGCTGCACTGCCCCACGGGCAGAGAGCGTATGGGGTAGGCGCTGCAACGCCGCGTTGAAGCTCAGCGATTGGGCGCGGCGAGCGGCAGATATGGGGTATGGCGAGGGGTGGGGTTAGTTAATCACAAGCATCGAGCATTTCATCGCATGCCGAAGACTTTGAGCGGACAAATAACACAACAATGCAACAAAGTAATTTCTGTCAAGTGGTCAGTGGAGATTGGGAAATGGGAACGCCGTAGCCAACCATTCAGTCGTTTGGATTGAATCTGCAAGAATGATCAATTTACTCTTACTTTTCAGCCTATATTAGACATTGGTCGAGATAAAACCAAACCAACACACACCTATCACTTGCCTCAATCTCTGCAATTAGCAGATGTGGCCCTCGGCCTCACATCGTTAGCTTTGTTCTGTGATAACACATGCTAACTACTGATCACATCAATGGTAACGTGAGTGTATTGCACAGTTGAAGACCAATGCAATGCTCCGTGTTTCCAAATTCAATGCATTATGATGTTAATTCTGATTCAACGGAAGCTAAGCTGACTTACCAAATTCATTGCCATGAATGCAAGCGATGAATGTGTGAATACCTTTGGCAATCAACAATTTCCTCTATGAGGCCATGCGATGCCCTGACTGATATGAAAATCAAGAAAAACATCACAAAACGACCTTGAGCGACTGATTTTTGCACGACAGGCGGACTAATCCGTATGGACCAACAAGTGAGGTAAAATCCTCCCTCTCCGTCGCTCTCCCACGTTGTCGTCGTTACGACGTCCACATCTACTCTACTCAGGGTGGACTTGCCCCTTGCCTCGGGCAGTGTCTGGGCTGACCCGACCTCGGATGAGCGGCCGATATCAAATGCAGTCTGGAACCGGACGCCGTGCTGTGTGTTTCAGTTTGCATCATCGCCGACTCGCCGTCACCCATTTATGACCGTATCATGAATGGCTGGATTGTTATGGGCATGATGTGTCTTGTACTGTCCTTACCCAGAGGTCATCCATATGTCTTTAAAGGGACCCTCCCACCTTCAAAAAAGTTTATGAATTGGCATGAAAGTGATGTCGCTTGGTTCAGAAAGAGCGAAAACGAATATCTACCAAATTTCACCGAAAAATATTCACCGGTTTTCAAGATATTAGACTTTTACTTTTGTTTACTTTTTTGGGATCTCCGCTGTTTCTAGCGACTTTATTTTAGAAGTGCGGCGTTTGCGGCAGATGTTGCGCGCAAATAGCATATACCACCGCGTGCTACAAAACGTTTTAGTCAAACATTTAAAAATCGTTAGATATTTGCGCTGACGTCACACATTCAGAGGGGTATTCCTAAGCATTAGCCCCTCTGAATCAAAATGCTGCAATTTTGAAATTCAATATCTCCGATTTAAGGCATTTCTCGATGTTGTGAGTGCCGAAACCGGTAATTGTGAGCCAGGGACCCCATTTTGGCTATCTCAACTCAAATCTAATGTTAAGGTGGGAGGGTCCCTTTAACGTAGGTAGGTATGTGTATTCTTTTCGATATGAGCATATCAGGCGTGCGCATGTGCCCTCTCTTTTGCCTTGCGCTACATACATTGTTACGCGTGTTACTGACTGACCTGACCCGACCAGGGCTGTGACAAGCGAGGAGTCTCGGGTATATACAATATACATACCTATCGCCACTGCACCGCTGCGTCGGCCGCGCCATGACCTTGAGCCTCTGTGTCCGCCCCCCCCCCCCTCCTTCCGCGCGGACGACGCCGGCGGCCGGGCTCCTATCACCTCTGCAAATAGGTCAGCCAGCCGCCCGCGGCCCGCCGCCGACTCTGCCGTGGCGAGAGACACCGAGCTGGGTGCTGTCGACGTCGACATCAAATCATAGAGCCATGAAAGGTGAACGATTGTATGGATGTGTGTATTATGTGTCTTTGGATATACCCAGGCTCTTACACTCCGGCGTCAATCACCATCAAAGTTTGCTGAAATATGAAGCGTGCAGCTCTTTGTCACAAGATAATACATATCACAACACTGCAGGTGAGTGTGGTGATTCCAAGCATGGATAAGCTGCAGACGCGGCTAAATGTGATGGAAGTAGCCGGTAGGCATCTCCATGGATTTGAGACCGTGACGCCTAACTGATGCAGCTAACGTTTTGGGAGGTTACAGAAAGACATGTGCATTGTGCATGGATTCAAGTGATGAATCTATGGACTTAGTAGATCTTGAAGTAAACTGCAAGTTAGGATCTATATATGATCCCACCGGGTCCCGCATTAAAAATATATCCTGGATGTATGATCTTATAGGATTCGACGATAAAACAGGAACATAGATCTATGACCCGAGAGGACCCCACCATGCATAGCATTTGAAACTATGTTTCCAAGGGTTTCTACGTCAATAAGTGCCACAAAACTGGGAATTGTGACGTGCTATCACATAAAATTACTAAGCCAGAACTTCTGTGAGTTTTAACCCGCGCCCTGCTGGGGGGGGTGTTTGAACACCCCCCCTTGTGGTTTTTCGCGAATATCTCAAAAACGGCGGCGCGGAGCGCCGCCGTTTTTGGTACACCTTATCATACATCAATTCTACACATGTTGCGAAAATTTCAGACCAAGGTCATTCAAGGTCAGGTCACCAGGTCACTCGAAGTGACCTCACCTCATAAAAAGTTTCAATGTCTGTCATAGCTACACCGAGTGACCGATCGCTTTGAAACTTTCAGCGATTGCTAAGAGCAATAGCATGTACAAAATGTAGGTATATCTCAGAATTTTGATATCGATGACCTAAGGTCAGGTCAATTTTGCGACCTCCCCATTATAAGTCAATGGGAGAAAATTGAAATGCGCCTCTTTTGGACGAAAGACATCATAAACACTCCCAAACATTGAATTACAAGTGGTTTAGACACACTGAACATGAAACTGGTGTATGTGACCCCTGTTTATGCCCTGAGGTCATCTTAGGTCACGAATGGTATCTAACAGTTTTTTGCAAATAACTTTTGATAGAGGCATGCTAGAGCGATGAAAACGCCTTAGATGTGTTCAGCTCGACGATACGGATCGACTGATATGCAACATGACCCTTTCCGGTCAGGTCATGACCTTGACCTGAGGTCAAATTTTCAAGTTGACCTTTCAAGGTCAAGTTATAGTTCATTCGATGCGTCTTGACGAGAGGAACACGATGCCGGTAAAAGTAAGCTCGTACAATGCTTGGGTCAAAAGTTATTGCAGAAAAACTTTCCGAAAAAATCGGCTATTTTTGCAGTTTTTGCCCCCTGCAGGCAAAACCGTTGACGTTAGGTCAAATCTGAGAAAATTACTCAGAAAGGGCGTTAATAGGGCTATCGAATGCGCTTTTCCGCGGCGCTGTAGCTCTATTGGTTCCCGAGTTATGCGTTGGCTTCTTGGAAATTTTCGACATTCGACCTGGAAATCGGCGAAATTTTGCCTTCAATGACCTCTGGTGACCTGACCTTTGACCTGACCAAAAAATTGACCGAAGTGATTTCCTCATTATTTTTGACGCTCTTTCGAACGCCGCCTTCTGCATATCGCTACGTGGCCCAGGAGCCGAGTTAGAAGGGGGGGTGTTCAAACACCCCCCCCAGCAGGGCGTGGAAATCCAGGACCCCCAGCCGGGCGCGGGTTAACAAGTGAATCTTTGGGTTTTCTGTGTTGATAAAAATGATAATAAGTGAGGATCTATGATCTCAATGAATCTCAAGTACAAAATTAGGCTCGGAGCTGTACATATATGTTCCCAGTGGATCTCTTGATAAATTAAAAAGTTTGATCTATGATGCCATGGGATCCGAGATAAGGATCCATGGAATTAGATCCCAGATCCATTTCTCCGGATACATGCACCTGTCTGGTTCCAGTTGTATGTAGAATCTATCAGTGCACAAAATATTTGTGTGCACAACACATTGATTTTCATATCAGGTCACACACAACCGTCTTCGAGTGGAATATGCACGCTGGCAGCCCATGCTACGAAGTTGTCGTATCCTAGTGCGCCCATATCTGACAGAGGAATTTCAGCTCGTGGGAGCAGTCGCGGTCGTTCCAGCCCTGGCTGCCAGAGGCCGTGATCCACTCGTGCACGCAGTGTTCCTGGCCGCCGGAGTTGTTGGGCTCATCTGCCAGCCAGTTAGTGTGGTCCAGCGGAGAGCCGTCGGACCACTCCCAGCCCGGATCCCCGGAGCTCCGCGTCAGACCGATCCAGAAGGTGGATCCCTCGGTCTCGCTGAAGAGCCGACGGACGTGCTCGGCGTTTCCTGCGTGCACAGAGACCAGTCCGGCCCGCCAGTGCTTCTGGGTGCATATGCGGTTGGCCTCGTCCCAGGCAGCCTTCTGTTCGGGGATGAAGTAACAGGAGGACTCGTGGCGGCTCCAGCCGTCCGGGCAGGATGACAGGACCTGAAACTGGTGGACGGAGGTCAGCAGGGCCCCAGCCGCGCTTGCTCCGTGCTCAGCTGATTTACCGTGTCCTGGATCTGAGCGACGTCGATCCGCATCTCGTCCAGATCACTTTGAGCTCTCCTCTGTCCGGTCTGGAGCTCCTGAACTTGCTGCTGAAGGCCCCCGAAGTCGACAAGAAGACGGTCAACGGTCTGTGAACTGTTGGCAGACAGCTCAGAATCCTGGTGGAGTCCGGTAGTCAGGTCATTGAGCTGCTTCTTCAGCTCTGCAAAGTGCTGACAAGACGCAGCGCTGCTGCTGTTCGTCACCAGATTGAGGAAAAGATCCAGCGCCATGTCCATTCTGATCTTTTCATCTTGGGAGTCGGGTGACATCTCCAGCCGATCTTGGACATTCTCAGAGGCAGATTGTAGTGTTTCGTGTTTGTGTTCTTGGTCGTTTTCGCCGGTCAAGGCGCCGATTACGGCAGACTGCAGCACCACCACGCACACAACGCACAGCAACACAGACACGAGCATAGCCATGTTGTCCACTAGCCAGGGTACAGAGCCAGCTCGGCGAGTGTAACCAGCCGGCACAAGAGTGTCCGGCAGACTGCAGTCGCGGTCCTATAGCTGCTGCCGAGTCCGGAGACTGGCGATAGCGCGGCGTCTCCGTACATACGGAGTCACAGGGGACTCCCAGATGACGAGCATAAAAAATGAATACGATTTAGATATCAAATATGAAATTTGTATGATCTGAAGTCTGAACTATTGGTTAAAGGGACTATCCCACCCTTAACATGGGGTTTGAGTTGAGATAGCCAAGTTTGCGGCGAGGTCCAGAAACCACTATCTATCTAGGTTGCAACCCCCGCCGCCTCTTGGTGTTGAAGAAATTCGTTCCCTTCATTTGAAAATGGGCCTTGTACAAGGCCCTATCTTCAACATGGAACGACCGCTAGTGTGACGTCACCTCGTTTAGTCATTCTGATTTAAATGGGGTTGTTCGTTGAAAAATCGCTTAAAACTTGGTCTGAACTTTGTTGTGGTGCCTACAGAGTAAAAAGATTCAGCTTTATGACAGTAATGTGGCCTGGGGAAGGAGGTAATTTTGGGCTGTGACGTCACATATTTGAAAGTTTGTGTTTGGAATATGGGAAGCCTAAGATGTTTAATGAAAAATAAATGCCAGAACCGTGTTCCTGGTCATCCAATCTATAAAGTCGGGCACAATTTAACTGGTTTTAACAACATTTTAGAAGGTGGGATAGTCCCTTTATTAAGCATTGATATGCCTATAATGGTGAAAAGGTATGCTGCTAACCCATTGGCAGCCAATTGTTACCAGTTCAGTTTGCATGCGCATTGCGCATGGCATCCGAATTTCATTTTTTTTCTTTTTAGCCCACCCCTCGAATCTCCAGCGTATTCGTTTCAACCTCTGTAGAGTTGATTGCCTCAGTCACCTCTGCCGATTCTACTAAGCCGCAGCTTCTTCTGTAGCCCATTCGATTTGATCTTCTGAAGCCGATCAAGACAAAGTTGAGCTGATCAATGATAATCTTGACTGCTTTGCCCTGGTTTACAGTGGGTTGCGGCAGGTTGCACTGAGACAGACTGGCGGGGTGAGAGCGAGTCTGTTTCCGCCCGTAACTCCGACACCACTGCATGTGCCGGTCACCTCGATACCGGCGAGCCCACCCGAATGGTGTGGAAAGTCCCGGTGTTGTGTCAGAGGACGGCATGACGTGGTTCGACTCCGCCGCTCCGGCTGCTGCGATATAACCCACTGCAATGGTTACAAAGTGCAGTTCGTCTATGTCATTGCCAAAGATGTCGATATTGTGAAGGATAATGAAGGAGATCGAGCAATCGATTGCGATTGCACCGACGCAGCCGTCTAAAACAGATTGCATACTGGCTTGAATATCTTATCTATGCCAGTTATCCGTGCATGAACGAATACTAGATGCGCTGTGAACCGTGAATGGGTGTGTGTACATAGGGTGTTTCTACATATGTGCGTGTGCAGCTTCTGATTTCTTTTCCTTGATGCCTGTCAATCATAATAGCCGTGTAGTCATGAAACGGGTGCACTATTTAAGCACATTGATTTTGAGGTTACCATGTCAAGCGTTGAGCACTGAAGAACTTCAAACATGACAACCACTTTATTCACGAATATCAGTGAAATTGGATCACCAATAAAATCCTGGAAAATATTTTACTGACACGTTCCCCGTGGGGGGGGGCCTGTGTCCGATTGGGTTTGACCAGTGCCGCTCATTATCCAAGGCTGTGGTTCCCGGAACGATTATCCCTCTGGGCGTATCCTTGTGAAGCGAAATGAGCCATAAAGCACGCCATGGCTTCGCCATCGGCCCGGTCCGTAATGACGCTAAATGACGCCCAGTGACACACATCGCAGAGCGCCGGACGCTCCGGTCGGGAGCAGCGTGACCACCTGGCCGATCGAGCTCGACACGCGCGCCGCCGGCGGGTTGTCACGGGCCTTCACCGGTTCCGCTGGCACGGAGCTCATGTGGGCGGAGACCGGTGGCTCTCTTAGTGCACTGGAACACCGCCGGCGGCCAGACCAGCTCGGTACCGGACGCCGCCCCCGATCCGGGCAAGGTCGCCGCCGGCTGGGTCAGCCTCGCTTTCACGATCAGCCAGTGCAGCCAGCCTTCGCCCAGACGTGAGAAAATATACTGCCAAGGCCGGCGTGCGCCGCAGCCGCCGCGGCTGAGCCTAGCTCTCAGATCAGCGCCGACGACTCGCCCGGACGAAAGCCTCCGCGAGTGCGTTCGGACACGCGCCTTGGCCGCTGCGAAAACAAATATTTGCGCGCAAATTTGGTTTCCGCCCGCTCGCTGGGCGCCACATCGCGAACGACTCGTGTGGGCGAAGGTGAAGTGAGATCGAGGCATGTCGACCAAAATGCGGAAGATCTCTCTGCAGGTGAACCGCACCGCCATGAACCTGCAGTCCCGCTCTCGCAAGCTGTCGCTGCAGGTGGCTGGCAAGCCGCCGGCGAACCGTGGCACCAAGCCCTTCCCCAAGTTCGGCACCGACTTCGTCATCCACGTCACCACCGGCGACCGGGACGGCGCCGGCACCGACTCCAACGTGTTCGTCCGCCTGTTCGACGGCAAGGGCAACCAGACGGAGGCCATCAAGCTGGATCGTCCGCTGCGCAACGACCTGGAGCGCGGCGCCACCGACTCGTTCCCGGCGCGTGGCGCCGACGGCTTCGGCAACATCGAGCGCATCGAGCTGTGGCGCGACAACTTCGGTGTCAGCCCCGACTGGTACCTGGAGCGGGTGGTGGTCGAGCACCGGTCGCGCACGCGCTACGTGTTTCCGCTGCTGCGCTGGGTGCAGGCGGGCCGCCACTACAACGTGTTCCAGTACGACTGCAGTCTGCCTCAGGATGACCGCTACCCGGAGGATCGCCGGCACGAGCTGCAGCAGCGCCGCCGACGGCTCAAAAAGGAGCAGCAGCTGATGGCCGAGGACAAACGGGAGGTGAGAGCGCTAACGACGTATATACGTCAGCAACCGTTAGGCGTGCATGCATAACCCGCGCCCCACTGGGGGGGGGGGGCTATTCATAGCCCCCACCGTTTTTCTGCAATAACTTCCAAACCGCTTGACGTATCGACGCCAAACTTTTAGTACCTTCGGCCGCATCAATTTGACACCATGTGTCAAAATATGAACTTCGTAGCTACGATAGGTCGGCCGGAAATGACGTCAGAGTGACGTCATGTTCGGCCGATTTCGACGCAAAACATTGAACCACGGCAATCGCTCCCAAGAGCTCAGTTTTTACGCTAGATCCCATTTCTTTGCATGAGAGGACTTCGAACAGACTGCTCTATCAAACTGGTGTCTCGAATTTCCGAAATTTGAATTTTTTGAAAATTGTATATGGGTTTTAAGATTCAAAATTTATATTTTTATCTTTTTTCAAAAAAGTTTTACACATTAAAATTTGACATTTTTTTTAACCTGAAAGTGGCCCGACCTAAGCTAAATACACCAGAGGCGGATCCAGCTCAGAGGTTTGGGGGGGGGGGGGCAAACCATAAAAATTTATCGATTCTTTCCATGCATCGTCCATAGGCGTAATGTTAAAATCATGCCGTTTGGGGGGGGGGGGCAAATGCCCATTTTGCCCCCCCCCCCTGGATCCGCCACTGAAATACACCTCAAAATGACCTCGAATGACATAAACGACATCGAATTCGAAATACATGGCCTAAATGGACCATAAAACATGCGTCGCGTGACCGATGCATGGTATAAGATTTCCGTGACCTGTGATGACCTGACCCTGACCTGAAAACCAAAGTACAGCTTTGGAAAGCATCTGTTCACGAGTGTGTAAACCAACAATGAGCCTGATCTGACTTGATGTCCACTGACCTCAGAAATGATCTGGTCGAAAAATGATCAAGTGTTTCTGAAAGATCTTATAGCGAGCTATATGTTGCTTTTTACTGCGTCTTTCTAGCTTGCTTACTTTCCGAGATAACGTGGTGTGGTCAATAAGCCCCTCCCTCCCCCCACCATGGTTAAGTTGGCTGAGAAGTGAGAAGCCCACCCGGGTGTGAGCTATAGAAGTTCTGTTGGAGCTCAAAGCACAATTTTGAAGAAAAAGTTTTATTTTAGTCCTATTTTAGTCCTATATCTAGTCCTAGGAAACCAATTATGCATGAAATCTAACTGAATTTCGACATTTGACCTACCTCGACATTCGACTAGCTAACTAGGTGTGTGCGTAGGTAATTTCCTAACCCGGCAGGCGGTGGGCCTACCAGCCACCTTCCGCGCGGTGGGGGGGGGGGCACTTTTTTGCCCCCCCCCGTATCTCCGAAACTACTGGACGGATCCGGAAAATTCAAACGGCGTTCGATAGCCCTGCCAAATTTGTCGAAGGAAACCAAATTTCATTGACCTCGGGGTCACCGATGACGTCACAGGTCAGGTCAAAGATAAAATGTTTCACCGTTCACGGGGCTTCTAGGGAAAGCGCTATAACACCGAGTAAAACGCATTTTGTCGAAAATCAGCGATAAGGCGTCAGTTGTCTAGTACCTATGTTGCTATTAGAGGTCACTGGTCATACCAGGTCAGGTCACACCAGGTCAGGTCACAGGTCAGGTCACCAAAGGTCACCAAGGGTCACCACATGAGCCCAACTTTACTAAGGTTATGCGATGCATGTTTTATGGCCAGTTTTTCATTTCCAACTCAATGGTGTTGGTTATAAGACCATCAGGTACGGTTTAGGTCACTTTCTGGTGGAGGTCAGGTCAAGGTCAGGTCAAAAAAGGTCAAATTTCAAAGTTGATATTTTTGCATAAAATGGGTATCGATTCGATGCAGCTCGTCATGGGGAGTCTAATGGTGGTCTTTGTTTTGCGCTACGAGGTCTAGAATTGCTAAAAATTGAGTTAGAAAATTTGACGTCATCAATTTTGAACAGTTTTTTCGCTATAACTTGGCCAAAAAAAGAGGTATCAATCTCAAATTTGGTATGTAGATAGGAGGCGGTAGGGGCTATCACATATATTCCGGTTTTTTTCGAAATTCAAAAAACTTTTTGGATTTTTTGGCTATTATATTCAAAAAATCTATTTTTTGATTTTTGGGGGTCAAAATCCAAAAAAATCGAAAAACCGAAATAACAGTTTTGTAGCCCTTTTTATTCCACACCTTTTATGTCTGAAACATTTTTCTGTATCTCTAAAGCTGTAGGCCTGACAGCTCTTCCCGCGAAATCTGTTTTTGGGTCGAAAATGGCAAAAATGACGTCACTCTGACGTCATTAGCGGCCAACCTATCATAGCCTTTGGAAAAATTTTTGGTCACCATGTGCGCTAGCTGCTCCCGGGAGGGTACTGAAAGTTTGGTGACGATCGGCGCAGCGGTTCTCGAGATATATAAAAAAACTAAAGGGGGGGCAAAAAATTGCCCCCCCACCGCCTGGAAGGCTAAGACTGCTTTATTCACAGACGTATTTTCAGTTTCGAATAAGCCTCTATCACCCCGCAATGCCCCTTGCTTGTGTTGCGGATTTACCACAACCTCTCGAGTGTTAACACCATTCGACTTATCATATAGGTATGCACATCGTACATTTACATTTGACCATCAGACAACTTAATTTTACATACATATGTATGTAATGTGTATTGTATATGCATATCATACATGTAATAGGAAAAGAGTTGTATGTAACTATTGTAACAGGTTAATCAATATAGCAGCCAGCAGGCATGAAGTATCTAAGAGCTGCCGTCAGAGAGCAAGTGGATAGCACTTTGGTATGAGACTTTAGTGCATAAAGTAAAACACTTCACTGTGTGTTTCAGTCGGCCACGGAAAAGCAGCGCAAGAAACTTCTATTGAAAGTGTCAACGATTGTTCCCAAATGGTCACAGAAACCCTGGCTGGCACTTTACGACATGAGAAAACTATTCAAGAATGGTCTGGATGAACCCATGGTCAGTATACCTACCTATTTACCATTTGTTTAATTGATACAAGTACATTGCATCGATATTTTAGCTTGCCTCGCATTTCGCTTGGGTTATTGCGACGTGCTCTGTTTTGTTCCTGTCACTTTTTTCTCATTTTCCCTACTTACGCTTACATACATCTTCTTACTGTAGGAGACAAGAGTAACCCATTCACTCAAGCTTTGCTTCAGCACGAACCAAAATCGTTAATTGTTTAATATTCAACTTCCACCTCAGCATCTAATCACCGTCGTCTCTAAAATGTCTCACTCGTTCACATGTTGGAAGTTTCCCCACGAGTGTCGGGTGCTTCCCCACGTGTGTCGGGTGTTTCCCAAGAGTGTCAGGTATTGTCTCACGTGTGTCGGCTAGGGTGTTCCCCTCGTATGTCGGGTGTTTCCCCACGTGTGTTGAGTCTTTCTCCACGAGTGTCGGGTGTTTCCCACGTGTGTCTGGTATTGTCTCACGTGTATCGGTGTTTCCTCACGTGTGTCGGTGTTTCCCCACGTGTGTCGCGTATTGTCTCACGTGTATTGGGAATTCCCCTTGTATGTCGGGTGCTTCCCCACGTGTATCGGTGTTTCCCCGCGTGTTTCGGTGTCCCCACGTGTGTCGGGCATTGTCTCACGTGTGTCGGGTATTGCCTCACGTGCGTCGGGTGTCTGTCCGGCCCGCAGTGCGCTGCCGTATGGAGGGACGACACTTGGTTCGGTCAGCAGCGTCTGGAGGGCGTCTGTCCACGGCTGATCCGGGCCTGCTCCAAACTGCCCGACAAGTAAGGTGTTCAAACGAGACTGTGGGGAGTTACCTAGTGACTCGGCCACCAATTCGTCGTTCATTAGCCCACTATTGACCGGTTTGACGGATTTTCGACATTTTTTTCCTCCTATTTTCGACAGTCCAACGGTCTACCTTGTGTAGGGTAGGGTGGGGTAATTTAAACGTATTTTTACGTCTTCTCTGTCGTACAAAGTCCAGCTCAACCTTGGATGAAGAAAAACTGTTTCAGTAGCGCAAATGCCACTTGCTTTCACCATGCAAGCCTCATTTTTGGACGAGCCGAGCATATCTTGAATAGCATAGCCTCACTTCTCCACCAAGTCACGGTGTGTTCGAATTGTTTCACCGTGGGGTAATTTGAACATACTGCCTTTACGTGCCATAAAAACGATAATCTCGCCAGCACCGATGTTGTTTGATCCAGAAACTAATAGCAGGACAATGCTTAACGTACAACCTTCATTTGAAAAATCAACACAACAACAAAAATAACAGTTGCAGAGTATCAATATCTGCACGCTGCACACCGGTTAGTTGGCTGAAGTCGCCTCTACATTCAATTATTATACATGTATATATTCAGTTATCATACATTGAATACACATACTGTATGTATTCAATTACCAGAACGTCTGTCATTTCCGCTCGATAAAACTCTCCCATCCTCGCTTTATGTTATAGTGGTGCCAATCGGAACCTGGACATTCGGATTTCCGATTTTGTCCAATGTCCAATTCGGAATTGGTTGGGCAAAGGTAGCAGACTTGAGACTTGACAACATTGGACGATGGTTTGCTAGTGACTACACTTCGGCATTTTATAAAGTAATCGTGCATAGCATCAAGGTACAATAGAATCCGCTTAACCTTCCAGGCGGTGAGGGGGGCATTTTTTGCCCCCCTTTTAGTTTTTTTTCGATATATCTCCAGGACCGCTGCGCCGATCGTCACCAAACTTTCAGTACCCTCTCGTGAATGGCTATTGCACATTGAAACCATTTTTTTCCAAAGGCCATGATAGGTTGGCCGCTAATGACGTCAGAGTGACGTCATTTCTGCCATTTTCAACCCAACAAAGGCTTCGCGGGAAGAGCTGTCAGGCCTACAGCTTTAGAGATACAGAAAAATGTTTCAACATAAAAAGTGTAGAATTGAAAGGGCTACAAAACTGCTATCTCGGATTTTTGAAATTTTTGGATTTTGACCCCCAAAAATCAAAAATAGATTTTTTTTTAATATAACAGCCGAATAATCCCGAAACGTTTTTTGAACTTCGAAAAAAAAAACGGAATATCTGTGATAGTCTCTACCGCCTTCTATCTACATACCAAATTTGAGATCGATACCTCTTTTTTTGGCCAAGTTATAGCGAAAAAACTGTTCAAAATTGATGACGTCAAGTTTTCAAACTGAATTTTCAGCAATTCTAGACCTAGTAGCGCAAAACAAAGACCACCATTAGACTCCCTGTGACGAACTGCATCGAATCAATACCCATTTTATGCAAAACTATCAACTTTGAAATTTGACCTTTTTTGACCTGACCTTGACCTGACCTCCACCAGGAAGTGACCTAAACCGTACCTAATGGTCTTATAACCAACACCATTGAGTTGGAAATGAAAAATGGCCATAAAACATGCATCGCACAACCTTAGTAAAGCTGGGTTCATGTGGTGACCCTTGGTGACCTGACCTGTGATCTGACCTGGTATGACCAGTGACCTCTAATAGCAACATATATACTAGACAGCTGACGCCCTATCGCTGCTTTTAGACAAAATGCGTTTTACTCGGTGTTATAGCGCTTTCCCTAGAAGCCCCGTGAACGGTGACACATTTTATCTTTGACCTGACCTGTGACGTCATCGGCGACCCCGAGGTCAATGAAATTTGGTTTGCTGCAACAAATTTGACAGGGCTATCGAACGCCGTTTGAATTTTTTTGATCCGTCAAGTAGTTTCGGAGATACGGGGGGGGGGGAAATGCTCCCCCCCCACCGCGCGGAAGGTGGCCGGGAGGCCCACCGCCTGCCGGGTTAACATCCTCGGATAATAAATCCAGCCGCTTTGTGGCCACTTGAGCTGTTCACGGATTTCTCTATTGAAGCATAACTGACTTCGGTTAATAAAACCACCGCCAAATAAATCCAAAACGCTGTGTCGCCAAGGTGAATTTATTAAGCGGATTCTACTGTATCTACTTTCAAACCTTGAATCACGGGTAATTTCAAATATGCTTGTTCTGATCGAATAACCTGTCGTCAACTACTCGTCTACAGCTGATGTACACGGAGGCACTGTTACTTTTTCCCGCCTAGAAAGTTTGGAAGATAGGAACGGAAGCCCGACTTCTGTGGGTCCCCGCCTTGTGTCAATCCATCATCGGGCTGGGCCGCATCGTCCATTCTGCATCCCCAGTCACTGCCACGATGCTGCCCCTGGCTGGTGCCATGAAAACCTTGCTGTCTACCTCCTCCGTAGGACTCCAGACTTCCGTCAGGATAGCCTCCCCTTTCTACAATTCTGTCCATAGGTGGTTGGGGGTAGGATCCCGCTGAATAAGCTCTGCTTCCCGCCCCAAAGCCTGCGTTCGCTGACATGTGAAGACCAGCTGTAGCTCCACCATCAGGCCACATAGTCCCATCCGGCCGCGTGTTATGTGCCTGGGAAAGTTCTTTCCTAATCCTGTCAGTAGCCGTCTCCAGGCGTTTGTGGGCTTCGGATCTTTGTTGTACTTCCAAGTCTTTGGTTTTCGAGTCAAATTTCAGTTTCGCGCATTCTTGGAGTCTACCGTGGACCGCTGATATCTCGCTTAGTTGAACCTTCTCCATGATAAAACGGTACAATCTCTCGGCGTCTTGCTCGGCGATCAACAAATGGGATCTGTTCGCCTTATCTTCCTCCTCTTTCAGCTGAGCCTCTTCTAGCTCAGCAGCAAACTGGCGAAACAGGCTCTCTAGCTTTTCTGACATTTCCATACAGCGCTGGCTCTCGGAATAGCGACCTGTTCTCATTTTTGAAACAACCTCACCTTTCAACGTTTCATGTGTTTTTATCAGGTCTGCAATGGTCATCTGTGGTGATTCATTCAACGCTTCTCTCATTCCCTTCTCGTACAGTTGCATGCTTTGATCGCTGGTTTTACAAGCTTCTTCATCCATTTTCTTGATGTTGTCCTGTATTTTCTCCCATTTGCCACAATATTGGCGGTCTAGCCACTTTTGCAAGCCTTGCTTCGCTTTTTCACTGTCCATTTTTTCGCTATCCATTTTCTGACACATGCTGAAAGCGATCAACGCTTCGTGCGCAGCCCTGTCATGTGCCCCCTGCACATCCTGCTCCGACACGGGCCCCGGCCCCCAGCTCTTCTCTAGCTCCTCCATTTTCTTCTTGTAGATCGGTTGGACAGATTGCGCTGTCAGCGTTTGGTTGGCATTAACTAAAGCACGAATGAGCGAGTGGGCATCGCACTGCGTAGCATTCAGTGCGCTGCCGAGACTTTCCAGATAGTCCGCCAGCTCTCCCGCCGTTATGTCCTTTTCTCCGAATCGTTTCACGGCCCTCACCTTGGCCAGCATTTTGACATGCTCTGGTGTGACGTCATCTCTAGGGGTGCGTCCCGCAGCCAAGAAGAGGGCGGCGTCGCCCATGTCATACAAGTCGGTGGTGTCCATCATCACGTGCAATGCTTGTTTGGCGTCTGAACTGCTCTCCGCCCACTGGTACAAAGGTTTGAAGTCATCCTGGAGACCGGGCGGCGCTTGACCCGGCCAGTCACGCAGCAGTAGCACCAGCTGCTGCAGCGGCATGCAGTGGCGCACCTCGTGCGCCGCTGCGGACAGCTTGCCGAGCAGCAGCAGGTCGTCCAGCGGCTGGACGGGGAATCCGGCGCTGGTGTGCACCACCAGCGATGAGCTGACCAGCGCGCTGAACAGCGTCACGGAGGTGCGCAGCTGAGCCGGGCAGTCGCGCACGAGCGGCCCCCAGGCGTCCAGCAGCAGCAGCGCGGCGCGTCCGCCCTCCGGCAGCTCGAACGGCAGCAGCTGCGACCAAGCGGCCACGCCGGCCGCGCCGACGCAGCCGTCTGCTGGTGCTGCGGCAGAGTGGGTCGCCGCTCCCGGCACCAAACCGTCCGAATCCTCCGTTTCCATGGGCAGCACCTCTGTAGCCTCAGCCGCCGATTTCGCCCGCTCTGTCTGCGTCGTCACTGGTCCCGGTCTTATTACTTGTTTCTCAGCTCCTCCAGCAATGGTCTGTTGCAAGTCCGACAGCAGCTTGCTCTTGTCATCGCTGCGCGAACCGAGGATAGTAAGAACGACTACGGGTACCTTCTCCGTGTTCTCCTCTCGTAACATTTCCAACAACCCGGGATCCAGGCTCATCGCCTGCCCGTCGGCTGTCGGTGTGAGCACCGGGACGAACTTCGGCATGCTGGTATGCGCCGAACTCGGCAGACCTTCGTAAGAAGCAGCGCCGCCTATTCTCGGAGGATCGGGTGGATCCATGGTTGACCAGCTGACCACCGCTGCTTCTGCGCGTCTCCCTCACTGCTCAGCTGAATCGCTATCACTCACTTCACCAGTGCCGCCACGTAAAGTCCACCGTGTTCGTCAGCGTCCACTGCCTTCTCTGGCGCGTCTGGCCGGCCCGGCCCGCAGTGCAGAACGGCAGACCGGTCTGCGGCGTCTGCGTCCGCCCGCCGCTGGTCGCTATCTGTGGCGCTTCAGCTCCGGCTGGCCGCCGGGCTGCAGATGTGACTCACGACGGCCCGATAGCCCGACCAACCGGCGCCTCTTCGCCCGAGTATGGGGAATCCCCTGGTGTCGCGGAGCCGGCTCCGCTCGGCGTCTGAGCAGGGTGGGCGCCGGGCGGGAGGTCCCGGCGGTAAACAGTGACGAAACCGTCAAACAACAGTGCGGGGGCCTAGCGGACTGTGGGGGCTTCTGAGTAGCGAACTGAGCACAGACCTGTACCGCAGAGTAGAGACAAACTTTCAGCCTTTGGTTTGTGAAATGCTTCTAGTACACTTGAATAATGACCTGACAACCACCCGTAAGATGACCATTGTTCTATGGACCAGGACACGTCAGTTTGATGACTCTTGATTACCTGTCACCTTACAAATTTACAACCTTTTTTGATGGCTTAAGAGCTTGCAGCTGAATTATTTTTGTTCTTTGACCTGTCATCCATCAGTTTAATGATCTTTGCTCTGTGCCCTGTCAGTTTGATGGTCTTTATTTTCTGACCCGCGACCCGTCAGTTTGATGACCTTTATTCTGTGACCTGCGACCCGTCAGGCTGGCGGTGACGGAGGCCATGCTGCTGCCCGCTCTGGAGGGATCCTCTCTGGCTGAATGTTTCTCCCAAGGCCGGGTGTTCACCGTTGATCTCGGACTGATGCACGGCCTCAAAGACGTCAACGGCCACGAGGTCAGTGAGCGCCACTGTGCGCCGACGTTCTCGATCCACTGTGCGCCGACGCTCGCGATTCACTGAGAGCAGAGACTCGCGAGTTTTCTTCAACATGTGTGCATGAGCAGAGCCACAGCTCAGCAATAGTCACACAACTGACGGAGAGCCATTGATGCTGGGTTTGCTGCGTCGACAGATGACCTGACCGGATCTGATCCGACTAAGACTCCGTTTTTGAGACGTGTCTTCGAGTTTGATTGATCTCTTCCTGCTGCATAGGTTAGAATAGTTGACCTGACCTGACCTGACCTCAGGCTCCCGTTTGCAGGTGGTGGCTCCGATCGGTCTGTTCCTGCTGAACAGGTCAGGAGAGCTGACACCTCTGGCCATCCAGCTGTTTCAAAGACCCGGACCCGACAACCCGGTAAGCCAGCTACGATAAGAAGTCGTGAAAGGTAGCATTTGAGGCCCATCAGACCTATAACAATTTTGTCGTGCAAGGGCAACCTAAAATATCACCTTATAAAAGATCACCATTGGTACGGATGGAAATGCAACAGGTGTGAATGAAAATTATTTCTTGATCATGCTATACATTACCTACTTTAAAAGAACTTATTTGAAACGCAACTGTGTCATTAAAATGAGCCTCTCAGACGTCTGAGTCCGCTATGTAGAGAAGTTAATGGAATTCTCAGGATTCTTTCAACGGAAACACGGTCACGGAAACAAGCTTATCTGCTTGGTGTGTCTTAAATTTTGACAAATGCGTAGGTATATACATCTCACATTGTCAGCCGTCAGCTAAAAGATCTGCACTCTTGTCCTTATGTTGTCCGACACGGAGACGAGCTAGGCCAATTCGCCACCACCGATTATAAATTGCTGTGTCTATCATAAGGTCCGCTGCGAAACTTAATATCATAATAGCCGATGACCGCTGAAGGGGATAGGTGTCGATCGACTGAGGACCCGCCGAATCGGCGCACCTCTGTGCACCGGGAAGGGGTCCGACGGCTGGGCCGTGCCGAGTCTGGCCGTAAAAGGACCGTCAGGGGAGGGGTGGGGGGGGGGGGGCGGTAGCAGCATCGAGGCCGACACTGACGCGGCAGCGGGCGTGTCGATGTAATTGGTCGCCGTCGGACGGAGCTCTCCGACGACAGATCGTCGGTCAAGGCGCGACCTCCGGGCGTCGTCGGTCCCGCTACAAGGTGCCGTCCGACGGTTACGTCGATGTCGGTGGTGACTAGTTAATCTCAGCACGCCCCCCACTATGGGGAGGGGCAGGCAGAGGGTAGGGAGGGGAGGAGCTGACTCATGGGGGGAGGGTAGATCGGGAGTAAAGGCTGACGTGCGGCGTGGCGTAAACGTCCGTTCCAACGGAGAGATGACGGACTCTGAATGCGGTGAGACCTATCTCGACTTGACGGTGCTAAGTGCCTAACCACGATGCGCTAAAACTTGATACTGAGGCACAAAAGCTTGATACTTGAAAAAGCCTTTATACTGCGTCACCGATGAAGAAGGAACGTGTATGTTTATGCATTCATATGTTTTCAGTCTGCATGGACTGTATACCGAGAATGCGCTCTGGAACTGCTCCCAGTGAACAGGGATTCCCCGTTAGTCAACCCTCGCTGGTTTAGTCTCGCCATGTATGTATATTTACAAACCCATGGTGTCCCCGTCCGTCCGTCCAGACCCAGAGCCCCCTCCCTCCGCCCACACTGAACCTCACAGGGTGCATGTGTTTATGTCCAACAGGTATTCCTATCGACGGACAAGGGCCACGTCTGGACACTGGCGAAGATGTTCTTCAACATGGCAGAGGCGCAGTACCAGTACGGATTCCTCTACAGAGGTCAGTGCATTCATGAATGTAGCAACACGTAAGGTCATTAAAAAGGAACCGCCAAAACACCGTGCAGCATTTTTAACGTCACTGCATGCAATTATAGTTCAGCTTCATAAGTGGATTTTGTCCTGACAAACTGTGAGCAAAATGCAATTCGTGTTTGTGTATGTTTGTCGCTTTATTGAATGTATGAAATCTATCTAGAGATGATGCATATTTTATCTAGAGGTGTCCCTATACTTCGTTACCAATCTCTTTATGCAATGCATCAAGGCGTGATAAACGTGGAAACCTTGAGGCAAACATCACCTCCGTTTCCTGTAAGCTGCAGGGACGTGTATAAATTCGATTGATTCCCCATCAATTGACCGAAAATATGACACCACGGGTGCTGCCCGTGGCGGTCGACCCAGGAGACCCGACGTCGGAGGCCCGCTGGGTCAGCTGCCGCTGCCGGTCGTCCGACTCCGTCCAGCTGCTGATGGCCCCACATGTCACGTGCCATCTGGGCCGGCGCCTCCCGCTGTCCCAAAGGGCGAGTCGACTCCAGCAGGCCACGTGCGGTGGATCGACTCCGACCTAGAAGTCGGCGCCCTCAAATATGTCACAAAAGCGGGCTGGCCTTGGTGGCGAGACTGCGGTGGCCGACAGAAATTTGATAGCGTAACGATGACGTCTAATCATATGTATCAATGCGTAAATGTCTTTTTTCCTCAAATATTGTACATATAAAGTTAAGATGCCATATTTTCCTACCTGCGTACATACTTAGTAGGTAAGCAAGCCCGTCGTACCCTTTTTTCCTGTTTAACATCGGGCGTTTGAACGCCAATTGAATCAGAATCTAAATAGATAGGTAATCGCTTATCAACCAAACAAATAAGTCAAGACTTCAGAAGAGTTCAGTGACACAGCCTTTACGGTATTATCCATCTGTGTATTTGAACTGGTTATAGCTAGGATACCTTATTCATCTTTTCAAAGTTCCGGCTAATGCATTTGCAAACTTTATCCTGCACTAGACGGCGATACATCTAAGACCAATTCTCACGATGTTTGTTCAGCCGTATCCGGGGTCCGAGGCACAAAGTTTGTGCAATGTGCAAGATGCACGTGTATGCGGTCCGGTCATTGCAGAGCTCGCTATCGCCTCCCTGCAGCGCAGTTGTGGTCTGTCACGTGACCGACCTGGGGACCGTCGCGGGGGTTCCCTGACGCCCAGAATGGGCGGCGTGCCAGCCCCTTCCGCGGAGGCCGGAGGGAATGAACCACTGTGTTCAGCCACTGCTGCGCTTAGATGTTATGTTTATTTAGGCAGGTGATGTCAGCTCGGATTGATAGCTTCGTATCAGAGAGGTAATGGCCCCGGAAATTACCGTTGGATAAACAGAGCAAAAAAGACAGATTTTTTGTAGCTTACACAGCTAAAGATAGTCTCTGTTCGTCTCTGTCTCTGTCTCTTTGTCTTTGACTCTTCTCTCTCTCCCTCCCTCCCTCCCTCTCTCTCTCCCTCCCCCTCTCTTTCTCTCCCTCTCCCTCCGTCCCACTGAGCCGCCTGTCTGTCTGACAGGTATCTGTGTGGAGATGATGAGCTACGTGGCCCAGTGTACCGAACAGCTGCTGTCACCGTCACACCCCGTCTACAAGCTGCTCGCGCCCCACCTCACCCCGCTCATCTCGGCCTCGCAGTAAGTGGCACACACCAGAAACGCACCTATCTCGCAGCCCGTCGACGTGGAATATTTTCTCATCCAAGAGGGTCTGTGATTGTCTGATCCCTTTCCAGGCTTATCATGCAGGATAAAATAGGTAACTTTAAAAGTTTAAAAGCAACTGGGTAAAAATCCATTCAACGCACTCCAGTCAGGGACGTCGGGACGGCAGCTGCCGTTGTGGCTTTCAGTGCTGCCAGCCTGCCACCATACTGGCTGAGCTGTCTGTCTCTAATCTGCCCCGCTAGGTGTCAGCACCGGCTGGTCCAATGCAAAGCCTACCGTGTCCTCGCATTCACTCAGTTGAAGTCCACAATACACATGTGACATTTCTCACGATAACGCTGTCAAGTGCAAGTAGGCATCAGTATCGCCTCCCCGTAGCCGGTAGCGGAAATAATATTGGCGAGCGTTGCTTTGCTTCGTTTAGACGTTAATTTGTCATCAGGATCATCTCTAACTTCGTTTTCTATAGGTACCTAATGTTTTTATCATTGTTACCTATTGCATATTGCATATTGTAGTATAATGCATTGCATAATGTAGGCGTGTTCATTTGTTATATTCGTAGAAGTTCGACAAATTTATTCATTATCGTCAAGTTTGGAATATCTAGTGGTCGAAAATGAAATAGGAGCGAAGCCCTGTTATTACTTGTTGTCGAGCATTTTATACAGCGAATCGCGTGGGAGGCCTCGATACCTACCCGGCATCTGACGAGATATGGAAAAGTTTTCCCGCTGTTCAAAGTTTGTTTGCTCTAACAACTGATCCCTAAATTTAAAAATGCTGATGTTTACCTGAATATAGTTTCACACAACACACAACGGAAGACATTGACACTCTTCAGCACTCAGCAGCTTCACAGTTTCTGTTATTATAACAAACCTTCCAGCAAACACTGTAATCCCTTGCCCGAGAAATTTAAACAGTTTGTGCGACTATCAGTCAAGGAACTCTCCAACCGTCTAACAGCAACAAAGCTAAGAGTATGACGCTCCACGGTAAGTGACGCTTATTCCAGAGTGACTGCTTATCACTCGTGGTCCCAATTGAAGCATCAGATTCAGACCGGAACTCGCCAGAAATCAGATGATAGACATCGTGCTTACGGAGCTCTCTTGGCCGACAGAGGGGCCTGGCAGGCTACCAGAAGCTGACTCAGCTAGTTAAACCAGGTCCGGCATCGGCACATCCTCAGAAATGTCGTCCAAGTGTCCCTTCAATCGATTTTCGATGCAGACGAGAGGCTGGCAGCTGCGTGATGGAATGGGATGTTGGATTGACAGCAAGTAGGTATAGCGGCAAGAATAATAATGTACGTATAGCAATGACAGCAATGTATGTATGTATGTCGGCTCGACGCTTATTCATTTAGCAGTTATGTACCCGACCCTATTTTCTGATGGCAAATCATACTAAATATTTTTCATCTCCTAGCAAACTCCTACACCTGAACTTGAAATTCTGTTTCCGTGATTGCATGTTAGCCTGCTAGTAACATCAACTGTTAACTCAATCACTCATTAGTCGCTACCAGCTCCCGCTTTATATATCCCTGCCGCCGGACCATGCTGACTCTGTGATTCGAGCCCGGAGAAAACACCCCAACATCGACCCGTCGACCTGAATTGCTGCGTCACCGGACAGTTCTCGTTACCTGTTTGCCCGCGGGGGCGAAGACGACCCGTGCCGCTGAGATGACCGCCGCTGATGACCGCCCTGTCGTCGGCATCGTCAGAGCAAACTGAGCGCGAAGATTGGATTCGTAGCTCAGCCGATGATACCAAAATGAGAGTCATATAAAATGTTTGTGAGATGGGCGAGCCCGCAAGTAAGTGCACCTATAATGGATAGGTTTTGTGCCTTAGTGATGCTGTCAACTATTGAGGTTGGCTCTACGTTGGATGGTCCCATGTAGAAGTGCGTAGTCTATCTTCGTCTCGCCGAAGCGGACGAAATTTAGTCGATAGGTACTTGGGAGTTGGGATAAAAGGCGCAAAGAGCAAGGTTCTTGTATATCCGCCTGTATTTAGGTACAAGTAACTTATGTTTACTTTTCGTGACGACATGCTGTGTTTAGGTACATAGCTCTGCAATTACTGAAATGCACAGCGAGGCTGAAAGGAACGTACTTATCTACGTACGAATCGGGACATATACGTTTAGCGTTATCCGAGGAAGCCGGCTGGCTGTAATTAGTAATCGAGAACATGCGTCTCCCTGCTGGGAAAACATAAATGCCTACATACACAGAAGCAATTAAATAAAGAGGCCGCCTCTCCTGTAGTCTCTGTGGCCTCGCCGACGTCGATGGCTCTTGATGCTAGGGTTGTCATAGTGCACCGTACCAAAACAAATACCTACCAATTCAGACTGACTTGTTTGTATACAACACACTGCCAAATTTGAGGCCCAAAAACGATCCTTCAATCCTGGAGGTGCCCCCAAGCACGAAGGCTATTGACGTACTTTGCTTGGCGTGGGCACAAAATCCTCTTAACTAGCCTAACTCACAGAAATGACTCATGTATCGACCCTCCATGTAACCAACGTCAGAGTGAGCCCTGTTCGTTTGTCCTTGCAGCTGCGCCTCCAGGACCATGGACCACTGGCTGGACAGGTGCACCACGATGGGGGCCAAGGGCATGCAAGCTATCATGACCAAGGGGTAAGTGAGCTGCGGGAGCGATCCCCACGTACTTTGAACCAATCGCTTAGCGGAATGAGCTGACCGATTAACAAGTTATTTGTCCTTTACCGAATAATTTGCCGATTTGCTTGTCTTTTACAGATACAATTTTCCGGTTTAACCCTCGCCGGACCTATTGGTTTTCTACATACGCGCCGGCCGAGGGGGGGGGGGCGGGTACGACCCCCCTTCGCCGTTTCGCCCCTGGTGGAGCTAGCGCGTCGCGGAAAAAACGAGCGTGTGCGCCGTTACGAGACGCAGAGATTGGTACCCGATTTTAAGGTCCTAGATCAACCGGTGACCTCTGAGGTCAGGTCAAGTGCCCCAAGGTACGGTTCAGTTTTTGGTGAATAACTTCGCAAAAAACGGCCGCAGAGCGCCGATTTTGGCAGCATCGTGTTCGTCTCGCTCAGGCGCGTCGAATGATATACTTTTTGTCCGGGTCAGGTCAACTTGGGGTGTTGACCTCAGGTCAAGGTCAGGTCAGCACCCCCAGGTCACGAAGTTGGTCGAAAGGGGTCATGTCGCATATCATTCGATTCGGCAGGTCTTCCTGAGTCCATTGGTGGCTTTCCCGACTCGCTAGCTCAATTTGATCAGAGTTATTGACGAAAAACTAATATGACCTTGATGACGTCATAAATGACGTCACGCAAGGTCAATATTGCAAAAGCGACGCATCTAACCTTGCAAGGAGAGCATAAAATCACGATTCTGTGTGCTTGAGATAGTTGGAGATCGT